TTCTTATTGGAGCTCAATATGGCTTACGTCATTGAATGGAGTCGCGTCGCCTTCGCCTCCGATGATGGCGGCCGTCTTCCCTAGGAGGCATTCGACAAGGTGACCAATGGTCATACGAGACGGCACTGCATGAGGGTTCATCAGCAGATCCGGAACGACGCCGTCCTGCGACGCAGTGCATGCATATCAGCAACCCCAAGAAGCGGATAAACGGGGGGATTGCAGCGACCCCAAAAAGCAAAAAAAACACAGGAGAGAAGAACTGCAATGCCTCCAATAAGCAGAAAAACAAACAAAAGATAGTGTCGTTATACTGTCTGTTTCGTCAGTTGAATACGTTGAGCAGAATCAACGATAACACCATCAGCTAGTACACCACCAACAACAACCACACAGTACATGCATACACCCAAAACAACCACTGAAACAAGAGAGAAAGAAGAAGGAGGAAAGAGCGAACAGCAACCAAGACGAACAACAAGAAGAACAAGAAGAATAAGAAAACGAAAACACGACCAAAAAACCTCCAACAAGAAAAAGAAAAACAGCAAAAAGGACAGAACAAAGAGTGTAATTAAGAGAAAGTATATGAATGAAGATAGAAATACCTCTGTAAAAGGCATATCTTCTTGTCTAAATGTTATTCCTATTGTTCCTTTCTGCCCGTGACGACTCGCGAACTTATCTCCCGTCTGGGGGATGCGTACGCTGCGTACCTTCACCTTAACGAACCTCGACCCCTTTGAGTTCACACTCAACATAACTGTGTCTACAACCCCTGAAAAATAACAAAATAAACAAATATATAAACAACTATAAACACTCTATATCAATACACAAGTTTAATTCATAAACAGACACAACAATACACCAGACTGACGTGCATTGAAACGAGTACCCAAGCAAACACCATAAAACAAACACCAATATAAATCAAAACGAATACAAATATAAAAAAACACACAAACGAATATGAACAAAATATCTGAACAAATAGTAACAAATGCTTAAACAACGTTTAAACTATACGAACCATACGCTATAGTGCAAGAAAATTACTATAATATTCCAGTATAACTACATTATACACATAATATACGGTGTATTCACCCTATATATATATATATATATATATATATATATATATATATATATATATATATATATATATATATAT